GATTGTATGCATGGGAAGCTTCAAAGTTTTCGTTGTTTTGTGTTTTGTAAATTTTTGTTACTTGTTTTGTATTTTGTTTGGTACCAGCAAAGGCTCTCTCTGGCTTCTTCCCTTTACTGTTACCCAATTGCTAGACGGTTGGATTAGGTCGGGTGTGGGTGGAAAGGGAAAACTGTGGACCTTCAGGGTGTTCTCTTTAGCTGTACTGCCTCGACAGTGTAAGAAAGAAAAGCTGGGATATTACATACCTGTCTTAGTAACTCCTGCTTCCTCTGTTCCTGTTCTGCTTTTAGGATTCTGTGGTTCTTTTCACCTGAACTAGTCCAGTAGGTTTAATTCATTTGCCAGTAGTGAGTGATGTGTAGACAAACGCCCTTGTCCAGAGTGGATCAAGACCTTCAAAGGCCCTGTTCCCTGATAGATAGATTGACCTGTCAGGTGATTGAAAACCGAAAGTAATTGTAAATGTTCTTAGCAGAGGTCAATTTTTTTCCCCATGAAAATAGGTTTTGTTTGTTTGTTTTTTAAAGAAAGAAGCATAAAAGCAAATTTGAGTTTTAGGTAGTTTGTTCATCATCAGTCTACTTAAGAGATAATCCAGGACTGTCCTTGCCCCTTTGAAAATCCTAAAAATATGGACTGGTTATTAGAGGGCCATTTGAGAGACTGTCTTAATTGTATGATTCTTTGATACCTTGGAGCTTTATAAAACATTAAAATATGCCTTTCCTTATTATTAGCCGAATTTATTATTGAGGTCAATAAGTATATATTCAGTAAGCAAACAACACCGCTTCTTAGAATGTTAAATAATCTCTTGTTCATAGTGTTAAATATAGTCAAGAAATTCTTCACTGTACTTACATTACAAGGGCAACAAAAAAATGTACTTTTGTGGGGGTAGTTCTGATAAGCTTTTAGAAGTAAAGTTGATATACAAGCCCAATTGTTGACTTCTCTTATTGAAGAATATGTATTTCTTACAAAGCCTTTCCTTGTATCAGAGTCAGAGATAAAAATAGTTCCCTTGGTTGAAAATATCACCCCATTATTAATATTAAAAAAAAAAAAACCTCACTGCTGTCCAGCTGATTCCCACTCATGGTGACCCCACATTTCAGAGCAGAACTGCTCTCCATAGGGTTTTCAATGGCTGTACAGATCTTTCTTTTGTGGTGCTGCTGGGTGGATTTGAATTGACAACCTTCTGGTTAGTAGTCAAGCACAAACTGTTTGTGCCATCGGGGCTCCTTATGATATTATCCCCTTATTTAAAAAAAAAAACAAAAACCAAACCTGTTGCAGTCGAGTTGACTCCAACTCATAGCGATCGCATGTGACAGAGTAGAGCTGCCCCATAGGTTTTCCAAGGTTGTAAACCTTTACAGAAGCCAACTGCCACATCTTTCTCCTGTGGAGTGGCTGAGTGGATTCGAACTGCTGACCTTTCAGTTAGCAGCTTAGCACTTAATCACTGTGCCACCAGGGCTCCTTAACCCTCTGTAACACGTTGGTGTTGTCATGATTCTGACTCATAGCGACCCTAGAGGACAGAGTGGAACTGCCCCATAGGGTTTCCAAGGAACGATTGGTGGATTCAACCTGCTGACCTTTTGGTTAGCAGCCATAGCTCTTAACCACTGTGCCATCAGAACTCCTACCCCCTTACAGGCTCACTTTACTAAGTTCACATTGGACAGTTACATCTTTTAAAATACAAATATCTTCTGAGCAAGTTAAGCTTTATTTTTATCTTAAATGCATTTATTATAAATTGAAGCCATTTGTTTGAGAGTGACAGTATGAAAGCAGTTTTCCTGGAAACTGGAAGAGAAAAACTTCTAAAAGGCAGGCATTGTTTGTTTTTCCTTAATCACCAGCATCTACCTTTTTTTGCCTTTGAAAAGTCTGCATTGACTTTAATATACGTTATAAAATATACTAGATGTGTCTGTTTTGAAATGTTTTAAAATTATCTAAGTCCATTTATGTGTTAATTCTTTAGAATTTGGCAGAGTGAAGCTGTTTCTTTTTTAATCTATTATATCCCTCATATGTTTTTTTAATTAACTTTTAACTTTGAGATAATCATAGCTTTACATGCAGTTGTTAAGAAATAATACAGAGGGCTCTTGTGTACCTTTTACTTTGTTTACCATAATGGTAACATCTTACAAAACTATAGGATAATATCATAACCAGGATATTGACAAATGATACAATTTACCAACCTTATTCAGATTTCACCAGTATTACTTGTATTCATTTCTGTGTGTGTGTATGTGTGTGTATTTAGTTGTATGCAGTTTTATCACTTCTGTATGTATCCACCACCATAGTCCATCACCGCGAGGATCCCTCATCAGGTTGCCCTTTTATCATCGCACCTTCCTTCCCTTTTTTAAGAGAGTTTTTTTGTTTTGTTTTTAAATATTTAATCATTTCTGATCTCGACTTAAATATATTTTAAATGTATTACCTTGCTGTAATAGTCGTTGGATAAACACATTTTAATTCATACATTTTTGTTCTTTTTATTTTATGACTAGTTAATTGACTTTTATTTTGCACGTGCTAGAGGTGGCGCAGTGGTTAAGAGCTACAGTTTCTAAACAAAAGGTTGGCAGTTGGAATCCATCAGCTGCTCTTTGGAAACTCTATGGGGCAGTTCTACTCTGTCCTATAGGGTTGCTGTCAGTCGGAATCGACTTGAGGACAACGGGTTTTTAGAGAGTAAATACTGAGTACAGATAGCAGATGAGATTCTTTGCATTATAGAATGTTTGCATAGAAGGGTCATTTTGAAGGTGGCACTTAAACAACTTTTTGGAGTCAACTCTCTCAGGTATAAGTAACATAAACCCTACCTGAATTAGTTTAAATACAAAGAAGAATTTTATTAACAAGGTGTGTTGTAGATAAGGAATTGTCTAAATTCATGAGGGCTAAAAATCACCACAAAGCTGGTTCCTGTCAGGCAGAGGTCAGGAATATCTCTGCCTTCCCAAGTCTCCGTTATTTCTGACACCAGCTGCTACTCCCATGGCACTCTCTACTTCTTTGCAGTGTTTGATAATTCGTTGTAGGCCACGTAGAAATCACAGACCATACTCACAGTTATGTTGTTTATTAGGGGAGGTAACTGGCTACTACCCTGGATCAGGATCAACCTGGAAGTAATATGAACAATTTGGGATCAGCATCAAGAAGCACACAGGCGAGGTCTAGAAGGTTCCCCCAAAGTGGAGAGCACATCCCTCCCTTGTTCAGTGCAGGACAGCTTTCAACCAGGACAACTCTCTCAGTTGCTTTCTGCTGTCAGGTGTCTCTGCCTTAGGCCTTCCCGCCTTTGGCCTCTTCACTGCCACCTGGCCCAGCTCATAGACGGTGTAGCACCTGCTAAGCTCTGTCGGCTGCTGTCTGCTGTCAGATCTCTCTGCTATTAGGCCTCCTCACCATCAGCCTCTCCACTGCTAACTGGCCTAGCTCATAGCCAGTGTAGCAGCTTCAGGACTGCTCTGCTCCCTCATGGCTCTGCTTCTCTGCCAGCCCAGGCCTTAGCTGGCATCTCTAAGCTGCAGCTTTCTCAGCTAACCAGCCCAACTCTTAGCTGGCAGCTTTCTCAGCTGCAGCTTTTTTTACCAGGCCTGGGTCAGGCCTCTGTGTCCCAAAGGACATGCTCCCTTCCTGGCTCCTGTCAACCAGGAGACCTCTGCATTTCAGCCATTAATATATCACAGTCCTCATCAGTTATAAGGCATGAGTTCTCACCAGACCAGAGCTTACCCAATCCTCAGTTACCCATGAGATGTCAGTCAACTCAAGTCTTATACAAAAGTAACCTGTTCTAGAGGTAGAGACTTGCTCCTCCTTTGGGCAAAAGTAACAACCCTCTGGGGTAGAAAGCAACCTGGAAGGTCCCCCAAATTGCTTCTCCAAACAACTAGGGCAAAGGTAACAACTCCTCAGGGCTTAGGGGAAAAATCTCCCAAGCCGTTTTTCCAAATAACCAAGGTAAAAGACCACAAAAAGGAACTCATTACATCACACAAGGAAATTGGGATTTTGTATTGAATCCAAAGATAGTAATACAGCAGAACCTTAGACGTGACTGGAATCAGGGACACAGTCATCTCTTATCTTTGTCTAATGGATCACTTTTTCCTTCTTCCTGTATCATGGTTTTTATCATTTAATGATGAAGTGGCACACAAATCCTGAGCTTTTCAGCTTTAGCTACCTAAAGACTGAGGAGACTCAGTTGCTGCCAACTCCAAAATTCCCAGGGGAAGGGAACCACTGGACTAGCTTGATCAGTTGCCTGCCCTGTTGTACCGCACCACAAGTATGGCCAGGGAGTTGCAGTCAATACAAGGGCAAGGCAGTGTCTCTGGGAATGATGTAGATGGATTGGGAGGCAACGGGGTGTCCAGAAGGAAAGAGAACAATGCTAGAGAAAGAGTGAAAGGTGTGCTCATCAACTGTCTATAGATTAAAGTTTCAATGAACAGTTGATTGAAAATTTCTAGGTGAGGACTACTAAAATGACCAGAGGCAAAGAAAAAAAACAAAAGAACAGACTGATTCTTTTGTGTAAATCATTGAGGTCCAGGAAGAGAATTGTCTGACATTCTTAAAATCATAGAAGATAACGCGTTAACTGATTTCTGAGATGATTTGTATTAGGTATTTTTGCGGGGAGGGCAGTAGTTCGGAGCCCTGGTGGCACAGTGGTTAAGAGCTCAGCTGGTAACCAAAAGGTCGGCAGTTTGAATCCATCTCAGAAGCCCTATGGGGCAGTTCTGCTCTGTCCTGTAGGGTCGCTATGAGTCAGAATCGACCCGACAGCAATGGGTTTGGCTTTTGGGTTACATGTCAGGTACCGTGCTAAGCATTTTTATATTCACTGTCTCATTTAATCTTCCCCACAATATTTGCCGAACTGAATAATCTGAGATGTATTTCAACAGCATTATTAACACTTTCCCTTTTCCTTTCAGAGATGTGGTACTGGATCTTTCTCTGGGCTCTCTTCTCCTCTCTGTTTGTCCATGGTGCTGCAGGAGTGTTGATGTTTGTGATGCTTCAGAGGCATAGGCAGGGACGAGTAATCTCTGTCATTGCCATCAGCATCGGATTTCTGGCTTCTGTAACTGGAGCGATGATTACTAGTAAGTTGATTTTGTCTTGTTTAAGGATACAATTTTGTATGTACGTATGGTTTTGGTAACCTTATCCTTATTGTAAATGTAACATTAGTGTAATCTTTCATGTAGAATATTTTTCAGCATTATACACACTTCACCTCAAAGGTAAAGATTAGTTCATTTATCCCTTGACCATGTGTGATGTTTAAGGTTGTATGTCAACTTGGCTGGGCCATGATTCTCAGTGGTTTAGCAGTTCTGATGTAGTTTGGCGGTTATGTAATGATGTAATCACTTCCATGATGAGATCTGATATAATGTAATCACTTCCATGATGAGATCTGCTATGAGCAGCCAGTCACTTGAAAGGGAGTTTCCTTAGGGTTGTGGCCTACATCCAATATGTATGGACATTCTGGCAAAGCTCGCTGGCATTTGCTGTGCTCTGGATCCTGCAGCTGGCTTGTCATCGTCTGACTTCCAGTTCTTGGGACTTGAGCTAGCAGCTTACCTGCCAGTCGTGGGTTTGTCAGCCCTTGCAGCTATGAGCTTTTATTTGTATGTACGATTTTTATACTTCTACTACGTGAAGACTCGTTATGTAAGGTTTTGTTGGAAATTTTAAAAATCATAAAAATTGGCAAGGGGCAAAGCAATTCAGTGGGAAAATTTGTCTTGTAAAGTGTAATTATAAGTGATTGTAGTTTGTTGTAAAAGTGGTCACTAATAAAGGAGAAAGATAGGCACAAAAATATGACAGTGCTAATTGTTTTAAAAAGTAAAAATATAGCCTTTAGGTCCTGGATGTTATCTTGTCTGTGACTACAGAATAAAATTGCATTTAACTCTATACACAAATTATAATGGCACGCTTCTCCCCTTGCCTAATAGAAATTAACCACTTTAGAGTATCCTCTAGTTATTTGCAAGTTTTCTGCTATTCTGCCTCATGAGCATTTTTACCTCTGAGTCCCACAAGTTCATTCCCTCTGGCCTTCTCCTCTTGACACTACACTTAGGCCCCGTCTCCAGCCTTAGGTTCAAAGGGATAATTCTGCTCGTTTCTGCTTCTAGTTGAACCAGCACTAAGATTCATCCCGTTGAGACTGGAGGGTGCCACAGCTGCTGCTTTCATATGGTCGCGCCCCAACCGGCTGCTTCTCCGTGCTGCTGTTGGTTCTGTCATTGCTGGTGAATGATAAAGGCTTAGATTGCTGTTCACTTCTGGCCTACTTCCATATATCGGGGTCAGCTCACTCCTGCTGCTGGCTCTGTTTTGGGATTTTCCAATAAAGATTTCTTCCTATCCAGTGGGTTCTTAGCTCCAAAGATAAGAGGACACCCTTTACTTCTGCAGTTCAGAGGCCTCCCTTCTTTTCCATCACAGGATCAGCTTTTCCCAGGGCAACTGACCTACCTTGCTTTGAGAGGAAAGCCCTGCTCTCACGCCTCTGGGTATGGTTTTGTCTTATGGTACTAATAAGACAATGACAGAATAGTGGTGAGAATAGTGAGTGGTCTATTGTCTCATCCTTTCTTCATTTCCTATTTGTTCTTTCTGTGTTGTACTTGTTAGGTCTTTGTTGTTGGCTGCTGCTGCTTTAAACCTGTAACTCTGTCCTGTGGTACCTCATCCACTGTGCCAAAGGTAGGGTTTTAAATGAGTACTCGGATTTAGCTGAAGCACAGGATATGTGTAGTGGATAATCAGAGATTCAGCTGGAAAGATAGAAAGGAGCCAGGTTCTAAAGGGTCATGGAAAACCAACCAGAATCCTGCAGGCCATGGAAAGCAGCTGGATTTTGAGCAGGGCTGGCAGAGGGAAAAGCACTTCAATGGGAAAATTTTCCTTGTGACCCTCTGCCATCGAGTCTATTTCAACCTGTAGTAACCCTATGGCAACCCTATAGGACAGAGTAAAACTGCCCCGTAGGGTTTCTAAGGCTATAAATCTTTATGGAAGCAGACTGCCACGTTAGTTCTCCTACAGAGCTGCTGGTGGGTTCGAACCACTGACTTTTTGGTTAATAGCTGAGTGCTTTAACCACTGTACCACCAGGACTCTTTAATTTTTTTAAATTTTTTTTTAAATTACCTAAAGTCTATTCTTTATTCAGATTTCCTTAGTTTTTACCCAGTGTCCTTTGTCTGTTCCAGTATCCCATCCAAGACACAGTACTACATTTGGTCATCATGTCCCCTTAGGCTCCTCTTGGCTGTGAGCAGTTCTGTCCGTTTTTTAAAATGTGTTCTTACCCTACAGTGATACATGTATGTAATTTTAAAGCATTACAGGAAAGCTTATAGTGAAAAGTAGCACTTTCTTACCATATCCCTCCTCCCAGCCTACTCATGCTTGCTAGAAGCAACCACTGTAAGTACTTCTAGCTATTTCTTTTGATATTTATCATCATGTTTCTAAATAGTATATCTATACTAATATTTCTTGGGTTATCAGTTGTAGACATTATATATATGTGTATATACATATATATGTCCTGTTATTGGTGGCCGAGGATTTACTCTTATATAACACACCCTTTTCCCTTCTTCCACTTTTCCTAGTATAAGTTATTATATGTTTTACTTACACCAAATATTATCGTACACATCATTGTGAATGTATGAATAAACACCAGAGAGATAAGTAGTATATTATGATTGTTTTCTTACTTGTACACCTTTTTTTTTTTTTTGGATAAACTATTACGTTCTTATTTCTTCTTTTTTAGTATAACAATTTAAGGCCCTAAATTTTCCTAAGTACTACTTTAGCTGCATTCCACAAGTTTTAATATATAGTATTTTCACTATCCAGTTCTAAAATAGTTTTAATTTACATTGACCCATGAGTTTTTAGAAATGTGTTTTTTAAATTTCCAAATGCATAGGTTTTTCCTAGGTATCTTTTTTCTTATTTCTATCCTAAGTGCCTACTAAAACCAAAAAACCCAAACCCGTTGCTGTCAAGCTGAGTCTGACTCATAGCGACCTTATAGGACAGAGTAGAACTGCCCCATAGGGTTTCCAGGGAGTGGCTGGTGTATTCGAACTGCCGACATTTTGGTTAGCAGCCGAGCTCTTAACCACTGCACCACCAGGACTCCACTAGTCAAAGAAAGTAATCTGTAAGATTCCATTACTTTGACATTTGTTGAAATTTGCTTTTAGGACCCAGTATATAACATGTTCTATGGATGCTTAAAAACAACTTGTATTATTTTTAATTCACCCTTTCACTTGGTTGATATTGTTGTTTTTGTTTTCTTTTTTAATGTAAAACCTATTATTCAGATGTTGGTCTTTCTGAAATGATCGTTATCATGTAAGACTCTGATCTTTTCTCCTGTTTCGTTCCACTATTCTATGATAAATCCTTGGCTTTATATTTTTTACTTTCCTTTGAGTTTTTAGTTTTAGATATAATATTTTTTATTTCTAAAAATCTTTTCTTGTCCTCTGATTTTTTTTTTTTCATTCAATCTAGCTTTCTTTTTGGTGGATATAATACCTTATCTCTGAGAATATCAGTTATTAAAGTTTTTTTTTTTCTCGTAAGTTCTCATCTACTCCAAGCATCATCTCTTTTCCCCTGACACGTTTTTTCCCTCTTATATTTTTGTTGGTATCCCTCTCTTTCATGTTGGAGGTTTTGTGACCCTTGCTTGTTATTCCTTCTTAAGAATGAGACATGAAAATATTTCCTGTCTGCAGTTGGTGTGTGAGTGAGATTTTATGTTCCAGTATCCCCACCATCACTTGACACTATATAGCTGTCTAATTTTAGCCAGTCTAAAGGTGTAAAGTTACATCTTGACGTTAGTTTAATTTGCATTTCTGTATTTGCTACTAACTCTGAGCATCTCTTCCTACGCTTACGCGTTGGAATCAACTTGATGGCATTGGGTATTTTCCTGCATATTGTTTGTTCACATTCTATGCTTATTTTTCTTTTGGTGTTTCTTATGTATTAGAGATATTGGTCTCTTGTTGGTTTTGGACTCTGCAGTAAATTCTCTGTCTTTTATCTTATCAGTTACCTTCATCCATAATTTCATTTATTGAGCAGAAATGCTTAACTTTGATGTGATTAGATTGATGAGTTTTTTGTTTATGGTTTATGATTTAGGGTTTTGTTTAAGGAGTTCTTCCCCACACTAAGGTCAAAAGATGTTTTGATATATTTTCCTCTGTTAACTTTATAGTTTTACCATTTATATTTAGGTCTTTAATTCATCTAGAGCAGGAGTCAGCAAACTTTTTTCTTAATTGGCCGGATAGTAAATATTTTAGTCTTTACAGGCCAGATGGTCTCTGTCGCAACTATTCAGCTCTGCCGTAATAAGGCAGAAACAACATGCATAAATGAATGGACATGGCTTGTTCCAATAAAACTTTATTTGCAAAAACAGGCATCTGGCCTTCAGGCTGTAATTTACCCCCTGGTCTAGAGTCTGCATTTGGTATAAATGATTCCAGGTGATTTTTTTCCCTCTCATATACTGTCACTTTTTACCACACCATCCACTAAAAATCCATCAGATCCTCCTTGATTTGTGCCACCTTTCTAGTGTATTAAGTTCTCAGTGTACACGGATCTGTCGCTGCAGTCTATTTGGATTCGTTGGTCTTTTATCTGTTCTTGCTACAAAAGGATCGTGTTTTTTATCCCTGTGTTTTTTTGTAGTGTGTCTTAATATTTAGTCAGGCCAGATCTCTCTCTTTTCTTTTCTCTTTCAAAGTTGACTTAACTACTTATGGACCTTTGTTCTTTCATATGAATTTTAGAGTATGTCTATTGAGTCTCTCAAAAAGACTATGATTTTGGTTAGCATTCCATTGAATGTAGAGACTAATTTGGGAAGAATTGACACATTAAATTATCCAGTCCAAGAATATGTCATATATCTCTATCTATTCAGATCCTCTTCCATGTCTTTTATTAGAGTTAGACATTTTTTCCCAGTAGAAGGTTTATATATTTTTGGTTATGTTACTTTGTAAACACTGATTGTATTATGATG